AGCACAAATAATATAAAAAACTACTGCATATTTCACCTACTAAACCCATGCAATAGATATTATGTAAATGCATAGTAAATGACTGTTTTGTATCCATAGACCACTTTGCATGACTGTCAACCAAACAATCGATCACAAATTTGCACCAATTCAGATTCTTAATCTCATCCTCGTCCGAAACACTATCCGACACCGGGTCAGATGGGGCTTGAGCCACCTCGTTATCTTCATGTGGTGCCGAGGTCAACGGGGTGTGGTGTTCTTCGACGGGGGGGGGGGAGGTCAGGCTGTAAAGTTGCAACCGGATCGGTTACACCAAATGGGGTGTGTGGGTCACCTTGACCTGCAAAAATCGAAAATAACACCATCATAAAAATAGATAACACTGCATTTAACTACATCCCAAGCACAAACCACATACACTCCCCACAAAAAACATACTCGACATTGTAATCAGCACAAAAATGCACCTACCATACCATACATTTGCACAGACTTAAATAGATAAAAAAAAAAAAAAAAAAAAAAAAAAAAAAAAAAAAAAAAAAAAAAAAAAAAAACAAGATTTTCCACTGCGTTAGGCACCTATACTATCTCTGGTGCACATACTATATATTCCCCATGATATAATTAAATGAAAAAGATGTTTACATCACACTAATTAGCATAAAAAATGTGCATACCAACGCATTCTACACTGTAACAAACTTTATAAATGCAAAATCAAGATAGTTAACACTGCAAACAAACACTTATACCTAACCAAATTAAAACATATAAAAAACATATAGCGACATACTAATAACAAAAAAAATGCACATACTCAGACAGCAAAATGCACAAAATGTGCATGTAAAAGATGGTAACATGGGGGCAATGAACATAAATTACGGCTAACAAGAAATGCACACGCATAGTCAGTACTGCGCCCATACCCCTCCCATATTATTCATTTTTAATATGCTCAAAAATTAAAAATACAAAACCACGATACTAAATCTACACAAATATGTTTGAACATACTTAATGCAATTACAATATCCGCTAAATGCACATACTATATCCCACAAATTTATACTGGAACACACATACTATATCCCTAAGATGCATAAATGATATAATTAAATGAAAAAGATGTTTACAACACACTAATTAGCATAAAAAAATGCGCATACCACAGCATTCTACACTGTAACGCACACACTAAACACCGACAATGTATACTTATGCATAGACTACAAAAAACAAAATGAACTAAAAACCACATAATACCCATGGTATAATTAAATGAAAAGGATGTTTCAACACACTGCATCACCCTAAAATAAACTTTATAAATGCAAAAAAAAAGATAGTTAACACTGCAAACAAACAATTATACCTAACCAAATTAAAACAAATCAAAAACATATAGCGACATACTAATAACAAAAAAAAAAAAAAAAAAAAAAAAAAAGCACATGCTCACACAACAGAATGCACAAAATGTGCATGTAAACGATGGTAACATGGGGGGCAATGACATAAATTACGGCTAACAAGAAATGCACACGCATAGTCACTATTGCGCCCATACCCCTCCCATATTATTCATTTTTAATATGCTCAAAAATTAAAATTACAAAACCACTACACTAAATCTACACAAATATGTTTGAACATACTTAACGCAAATACAATATCCGCTATATGCACATATTATATCCCACAAATTTATACTGGAACGCACATACTATATCCCTAAGATGCATTTTCCTTCATTTCAATCGCAGGCAATTACACCTATCCCCCCAAAACAATTACAAACAAAGCCCAAGCAAATATACAGAGAAAAAAACAAAAACAAAAACAAAAAAAATGAAAACAGGATAACAAAAAAAATAATAAAAAAAAAATGCTCGCCGGATATGTCTCTACCGCCGGAAAGATGTTTCCCAGACCCCGGCTCCTAGACCGACTCCCCAGTCCCCCGGCGACAAGACGCCGCCCATGCAGCGACCGCCCCAGAGCCCCGCACCCACAAAAAGAACCCACAACCCAGACAAAACCCCGGCGACACAATTTGACCGCCATTGGAGCACAAACCGGCGATAAAAAACGAGAAGAAAACCATACACATGCAAGACACCCCCAAACTTGACTTCAGAACAACAATAATGGGGATTGCGATTACCTTCGATGGAACCACCGTTAGCCGCCGTTCCCTCTTCGATCGGCGTACAGTAGGCGCCACATGATGAACTTCACCTACCGAGATTTTTGATGGAGAGGGAGAGATGATGGAGGTCAGCTATTGATGGGGAGTAAGAGAATGGCTGGAAGAGACACACAGACATGGAATACAAAGGGTTGAAATACTCTCGCAGATTCCCAGGCAAAATTAAATACATCCTATAATAAAAGCTATTGCAAATTTACAAAAAAAGCCCTAATGTTAACAAAAGAGCTGCTACACGTGTGAAATTTCTCAAATGATCTGGACCATTCATCTAAACTAATTAATGGTCAGAAAAGAGGCTCACGAGCTCATCTGCCAAGGGGGTGTGCACCTGATCCAATATATATATATATATATATATATATATATATATATATATATATATATATATATATATATATATATATATATATATATATATATATATATATATATATATATATATATATATATATATATATATGCAAGGTTGAGTCGGCTGAATTCACACGGTTGTAAAAATCGGTCCCGGTGTCCATTTTATTATGAAAGTCTTGGCCCAATGGGTAGCAGTGAATAATGGTGGCCAAAAAAAGATAAAAGTGGAGCGAGAGGAGTTCACCGGGGCAAAATCGCTGGCGGGCCAATGAAGGACGCAGCGCACTACACCATAGCTTGGAGTAAAATAGTGAAGGGTGTTGTTAGCAAGGATCAAACCCAAAACCTCTAACATGGCATGCACATCCCAATAGATCCATCTCTTGTATATTAATGTGGTACTACTGATATTTGTTTCAAATTTTGCAAGCTGACATATTTACAAACTTCTACGACTGGCCGGCGCTAAGCTAGCACCGGGCAGCGTGGCTGGCCATGGTGCCCCCATAGTGGGGCTAGTGCGCCCCATGGTGTGATGACGGCGCCCCACCAGAGGAGAGTGGGGTGCAGTAGTGAAGGTGTACATGTGCATGGCTAGGGTGGTGAAGACGTAGGGATAGCATGAACAAGCGGGTCGTGGTCATGAACAGTGACGCATTTTCGTCCACTTGGCAAGACATGGGGAGCTCTTGAACACTATAAAAGGGGGTGTCCTACATCTTTTAAGATATCATAGTCTAATCAATACAAGTGCCCTGGTCCAGTGGTTTCTTGTCTATTAATATTGTTTCAACCCACCCTTATTATTTGTGGTGTCCGTCCTTAGTATTTCTTATTAGCCTATTCTTTGGGGCTACAACTGTTATTATTTATTTATTATTTGGACCACCATTTTGTGCTAGTATATCGGGCTTTGTACACATACACTTTGGGCCTAGGGTCCTGGGCAATAAAGTTACTACTTTCTTACCCCTGTTCTGTACTTCTATACCCGGTTTATGGTGGACCCAGTCCCGACAAAACCATCAAAACTAAACACATAAAATGGGAATGAGGAAATATAACACTAAACTTAAATAGCCCCAACTATTATAAATTGTTATCCCATGAACCAGGTTCCACATTGCATTGTGGACTTTGATCTAAAACAACATTCAGATTATGTGCTTACAATTAAAATATTGTGTATTTTTAGTTAATAAATTATGTGTCTACTACCATTAACATATTATGTATATGCAATTAACATTATATTTGCCTGATGGATGGTATACTAGGCTGTCTAAATGGGCCAGCCCAAGATAACAACTAAATCAAAGAAGCCCAAGAGGAAGACGTAGGGCAAATTATGCTATGCAACCGTGTGCACCATGCATGGTGCACACGGTTGCAAAAACGATGTCGTTTTGACTAAAAACGCGCGTCCCACTTTAAAAAAAATCAGTTTTAATTCTCGGCAACAGCATTATGTTGTGCATAATTTGAACTATACATCCAGAATGAATGAACTAAATATCCAAAATGAATGAACTAAATATCTAGCATGAATGAAAAAAAATCAGTTTCGATTTCCGTCTAAATATCCAGAATGAATGAACTAAAAATCCAGAATGAATGAACAACATAATGTTGTTGACGGGAATCGAAACTGATTTTTTTAAGTGGAACGAACGTTTTTAGTCAAAACGACGTCGTTTTTGCAACCGTGTGTACCATGCACGATGCACACGGTTGCACAGCATAACGACTCGAAGACCTAGTACGAAACAGTGAAGGAGTTTGGATAGGATTACACGTGATTGAACAAATTAGTCCTATGTATTTCATGTGTATAGCAGTGTGTATATAAATCGTATGAAAATATAAGATGAGAGGAAATATGGAAATGTTTATTCCATATTCTAGAGAGTAGAGAAAAAGTGTCTCTGAGAGAGGGAGTCAAGCCAAAAAACCCCCTTGAATGAAGGGCTATGGTCCCTTATATAGGCCCTTGATCTGTATCTGATACTGAATAAACGTACAAAAGGTATAGGGTGGTATACTCGGGGTATATTCTCTATCAAGACCTATTATTCATAACATACCAAGAATTGGGCTTGTCTTGTATGGGGTCTAATTTCACTATGATTAGGACTCTCAATATGAGGCAGTCTAGGATTTCTATTCCTTGTAGGGCTTCTAGCTAGCCAAAAATATGTATAAATAGACCCTCATGGGAAAAGACAAGCAATTCTCAATAATACAACATATTTATTCTCTCCAGACGTGTGTAGAAATGACATTGAAAAAATCTCAAGAGAAAGAGAAATAAAATCAAGAATTCGCAAATCTAATCAAATAATATTGCTATAATTCGAGAGAAAGTCACAGTATCTACTTGGACACTACAATGAAAATGTGTTTGAATCAAGAACATACAGTAAATGCCATTATTATGGTCGCTTTATTCTGTCTCCACTTATGAAAGGTCAAGCCGACACAATAGGCATTGCGATGCGAAGAGCTTTGCTTGGGGAAATAGAAGGAACATGTATCACACATGTAAAATCTGAGAAAGTCCCGCATGAATATTCTACCAAAGCGGTATATTTTCTCGATATTTTCCCCATATAGTCGTTATTTTAACAGTTGTGTTAGCCTGTCATTGACTGCCCAAAAGTCATAAAACTAACATTGGTACCGCCTATGACAATCAAAACGAAAAGTTTACGTTCGTTCTTCAAACTTAAGATACAAATCCCGAAACCCTAGATCATGGTGACAACACAGCGACATACCCAGACTAACCAATCAGTCCGGGATATGCGAGAAACCCTCAGCTGACTCGCCTCTCGTGCGCCATCCGGTCGACCTACAACCCCCTCAAGAAGATAATCCGAAAAACCTCCGAAGGGAGGAAGAGGTCCATTGTTCAACCATGCGACCGGTCGTTGACGTCGTTTAGACCCGAACAGTTCGATCCCATTCTACTGTACTGGAAGCTGTAGAGCCTTAAAAATAATATTAATGGCTAGACCTATAAAAATTAAATCAATTAATTATACCCACCATGCATGCATGGTTCAATGTACCCCCAAAAGGCCAAAATCATAAATGTCATTTAACGCGTAAGTTGCATATGTAGGTTTTTGTCAAACAAAAAATTCATGTTAAAAAGCCTACAATAATTATCACTTTCTGTTAGTCATTTGTTTTTTAATATCTCTCATCTTTTTAAGGTGCTTCTTCAATTAACTATTATCCATCATCCTTCTCTCTACCCACCCTAAGAAATACAATGCCATTGATTTCTTTCTTTACCTAACTTTTCGTTTTATATATTATATATTGCCCTTGAAAAATGATACTCACCCCTCTTAATTCCCTCACCCCATCCCCTCCCCAGACGTGATACTATTCAATTAAGTTTTTTAGTATTTGATTGAAATGATGTGTAATTAGTCAATTCATGACATCTAATGAATATAAAATTAGATCATGATAAGAAATTATTGTGGGAAAATAACATTTTTCAAAAATATATAATTCTTCCAATTACAGCTTGAATGAAATATGCTATTTTTCTTTCACAATTTTACGTCGGATCCAATATTCACTTTCAATTTGAAGTCATACTGTAATTAAGTGTAAAAGGAAAATTCAATAGAATAAAATTATAGCAAGAGATAAAAAAAAAAAAATTACAAAGTAATTTTAAGGGCGCACGTTGAAATTGTGTTAAACATATGTAACTCTCTTGACAATCTTCAAGCACGAAGCAATCATAGATTGTTCACAAAACTATTTATTTTAGCAAATTTTATAGAAGTTACTCCCAAAAAAAAAAAATAATAATAAATAAATAAATAAATAAATAAATAAACCCTAATTAATCTTATATTTAAGGTGTGTATAGCTAGTTCAAATAATGTGCCCAATAATCTTATATCTATAAGGATTATTATCTACTCTTGTTTGGTTTTCAGAATTTGAGACTCTTAAAGGGAGATATGAGAATTATTGGAATAATTTTGTATTATGTTTTTTACCACATTTCTAAAATGTTCATTCTTCTAAGTTTTTAAATATAACATGATAATTTCTAAATATTATTAATTATTTGAACCAAATTAAACGCCCCATTAACATTTTAACATGGCAACATACATGTACGTACAAACATTTAATAAGCTAGCATGTATGACAACTATAATAATTATCTTGCCAATTTTATCACCCATTTAATTGCCACATATATTTGATATATTTCTCAATCATTATACCATGGATCATAATCCACGACATATTCATTTTTAGTATACTCAAATTCATTTTCAGTAAAGTGAATGTTAATTTTTAAGGTTCATTTTTAATATATTAACAATTTATTTTTTTAGTATATTAACTAAAAATAAATATTAATATATTAAAAATGAACATTTATCAATGATCGATATTACAATGTGAATCATGGTCTATAGTATAATTTATCGATATTTCTTTGGTCGGTCACGAGGCTATAGCGACAAATGTGACGAATCCGCACAAAGAATTGTATACAAGGGTTAGCTACATCATATCATTAGGGGGCGTTTGGTTCACGGAATCTTGGATTACCCTGGTAATCTGAGAAAGGTAATCTTAGATTACCATGTTTGGTTGAGGTCATCTGCGAGGGAAGGTAATGTAATATTACTGCCACGTCAGAAATATGGTAATGTTGGAGGTAATCTGAATTTTTATTAGGTAATGTGAGATTACTTTTCAATATTTCAAAATTGCCCTTGTTTATTCTTCTTTTATTCACAAGATTCATCAGACTCATCAGACGAGAGACGCTCCAGCAAGCTCCGAAACTCCATCCTATTGCATCGCTTCTCCATTTTTCTCTTCAATGAAGGTCTTCAAAGGTATGTTTCTTTTTTTTATTGTAATCTAAAAAGCTTAATTTGTTCTGTGTTTTTCATATATTTGTGCGTATGAACTATTTTTCTTCTATCAATTTATGTATTTGCAAACCCTAGACTTTTTGAAAATCAATTGTTGATCTACCCTAGATATTCGAATAGCTTTGCTTACTCATGTAAAGTTTGCTCATTTCTTCACTTAGTGCAATCTTATGTCCATCCATAGTTTTTTTTTTTTTTAAGAAAACATGATATGCATTGATTATTGCAAAAAGATACAAAATTCAGGACCAAATTATGGTCTACAACACACAAGAGCCATACGGCTTCTTCACCAAATGCCAACTAAATGCTACAACCATCTGCCTAATCATGATTGTAGCAATGTATATATGCTTGTAGCCTTTATCAATTTGTATAAAATATATAGTTGTAACAGTCTATATATGGTTGTAGCCTTTATCATGATTACATCAATGTATATATAGTTGCAAAGCAGTGTGGAAAGAATGATTCACTACTACAAAATACACTTACCACAGCGGTTATTTTTATAAATACACGGCGGTTCTTGAAGTGCCGTGTAAGTGACCGCCTTTGTAAATAAAAACTTTCTACGGCGGTTATTTGAACCGCCGTGTATACTTCTAAAACACGGCGGTTGCTAACACCGCCGTCTAATCTCAACAATTATATGTATAGACGACACTTTTCTTGAAGAACCGCCGTCTATTCATATGTATAGACAGCGGTTCAATTAAAGAACCAGGTTCCAGGTTCCGGCACGTCTCGTAGCGCTTCTCGAGACCCTGGTTCCAAAGTACCAAGCGCACCACAATCCAAGATGGTTCAGGGGGGGCTCAGGGTGCAATGTAGGGCCCAAGATCATTTTTATTTATCAACAATATTCCGACCCATGCTTGGGATGGGAATTGATCTCGGGCCTGCCTTTTTGAAGGTCCATACCGGATACCATCAGACCACAAGGGAGATAGTTAATTATGTTATGTAGGAACATAATATACGTGCACATGTATATAATTAGAAAATACTAGGTTTTCTTGGATTAAGACCGCTTAATGAATAATATTGATTTAGGAAAATTTAATAAAATTATTCGTATGCACATATGGTCCTCGTACAATGCCCAAAAAAATATGGAGTATCACACCTTTACACGACGATCGCTGTCTATTAAGTGACGTAAATATATATTTGAAGGAGGTTATTTAAGAACCGCCGTTTATTAAGTGACGTAAATATATATTAGAAGGCGGTTATTTAAAACCGCCGTTTATTAAGTGACGTAAATATATGAAGGCGGTTATTTACAACTGCCGTCTATTAAGTGACGTAAATATAAATTAGACGGCGGTTATTTAAGAACCGCCGTCTATTAATTGACGTAAATATATATTAGACGGCGGTTATTTAAAACCGCCGTCTATTAAGTGGCGTAAATATATATTAGAAGGCGGTTATTTAAAACCGCCGTCTATTAAGTGACGTAAATATATATTAGAAGGCGGTTATTTACAACCGCCGTCTATTAAGTGACGTAAATATATATTAGACGGCGGTTATTTAAGAATCGCCGTCTATTAATTGACGTAAATATATATTAGAGGACGATTATTTAAAACCGCCGTCTATTAAGTGGCGTAAATATATATTAGAAGGCGGTTATTTAAAACCACTGTCTATTAAGTGACGTAAATATATATTAGAAGGCGGTTATTTACAACCGCCGTCTATTAAGTGACGTAAATATATATTAGACGGCGGTTATTTAAGAACCGCCGTCTATTAATTGACATAAATATATATTAGACGGCGGTTATTTAAAACCGCCGTCTATTAAGTGGCGTAAATATATATTAGAAGGCGGTTATTTAAAACCGCCGTCTATTAAGTGACATAAATATATATAATTAGAAGGCGATTATTTAACAACCGCCGTCTATTAAGTGACGCCGTATATAATAGACGGCGGTTATTTAAAGACCGCCGTCTATTAAGTGTCGTAGTATATAATAGAAGGCGGTTATTTAAAGACCGTCGTCTATTATGTGCCGTAGTATATAATAGAAGGCGGTTATTTAGAAAACCGACGTCTATTATGTGTCGTGGTATAACAAAATATAATAGAAGGCGGTTATTTAAAAAAACGCCTTCTATTAAGCGACGTAGTATATCATTTCTGTAGTAGTGATTGCAGCAAGTGTGTGTGTGTGGTCTACCAAGTATTAATTAAGTTATAGAGGTCCATGTTGAAACCGTTGATAGACCTAGATACCGAACAATGAAATGTGAAATTGCTACCAATGTATTAGGTGTTTGCACACCAGACATGTATTTTATCTATGTAATACCGGGTTGGGAAGGATCTGTTGCTGTCTTGCTGATGGTAGAGTTTTGAGGGATGCGATTAGTAGGAAGAACGGCTTAAAGGTTCCTCAAGGTAATTAATCGCATCATAGGTTTTGAATTATGTTATTTGGATTTACATATTAATGAATTCTTGAAATTGAATATATAGGGAATTACTATTTGTGTGATGCTGGATATACAAATGGTGATGGATTTTTGGCACCATATAAAGGTCAACGATATCACCTAAATGAATGGAGACAAGGATACCAACCTGTAACAGCTAAGGAATACTTCAATATGAAACACTCTCAAGCAAGAAATTGCATTGAGAGGTGTTTTGGCATACTAAAGGCTAGATGGAGTATTTTAAGAGATAAATCATTTTACCCAATCAAAACTCAATGTAGGATTATATCTGCTTGTTGCATTCTCCACAATTTCATTAGGTCTGAAATGTCAATTGACCCTATAGAGATTGAAGTACCTCAAACTGAGTTTGATAATGATTATGAGGAAGAACTAATAACACATTGTGAGACAAGTTCTGCTTGGACTTAATGGAGGGACAAATTAGCAGAGGAGATGTTCACCAATTGGCAGCCATCACACCATTGAGATAATTATTGGTTATGCTGTTTTTTTTATTAGTATTTCAATTTAAGAACAATTTTATTTTATGTTATTATTTCTTTTATGTATGAACTAATTTTAGTGGAATGTCAAAACTATGAACTAATTTATGGTAGTATTAATATATTTTGTGCTCTGTTTATTTCTTTTTGTTATCTTGTATCATTTGTAGAATGCCAATGGAAGAAAGTAGTAAAAAAAGGCCTGCAACGAAAATTACTTCTCTTATTAAAAGACAATGGACTAAAGCTGAAGATGCAGCTTTAATTGAATGCCTTATTGATTTGGCAAATGATCGAAGTACAAAGGGGGATAATGGATTCAAAAGTGGATACTTGCAGCAACTTGAGAAGATGCTTCAAGTGAAACTGCCAGGAACAAACATTAAGGCCACCCCACACATTGAATCTCGCTATAAACTTTGGAGGAGGCAATTTATTGCAATTCAAGAGATGCTAAACAAAGGAAGTGGCTTTGGATGGAATGATACTGAGAAGTGTGTTACTGCTACCAAGGATGTTTTCGATGAGTGTGTTAAAGTAAGTAAAGTATAAAATAAATTAAGTTAGTTGTTTTAGATTATTATTGATATATTTATAACTTTTTTTTTTCAGAGTCATCCTACTGCAGCTGGATTAAGGAACAAACCATTCCCATATTTAGATGAGTTGATGATTGTTTGGGAAAATGATCATGCTTCATAAGCTGGTGCAGAAACCCCAGCTGATGTAATGGAAGAACTAGACCAAAAAGAAGACAATGATGATGATCTCCAAGTGGATTGGGAATTTGGAGAAAATGAAGGATTGGGTCAGAATGAGGCAGAAAATAATGTTGATAAGGCTTACTTATCTTCTTGTCCCTCCACAAACACTGCCAATGTACAAAAATAACATACTACCAAGAAAAGATCAAGAAGTGATGATGGCTTTAATGACTTGGTAGTAGAGATCCATGATTATGTAGGTGCATACAAACATGTGGCAACATATCTTCAGAATGAATCTGAGAACAACACTAGGAAGATGAAGATCTTTGAAGAGATAATGCATCTACCAGGATTTTCTACAGAAGAGGTCATGAATGCTGGTGAACATATTCTGAAAGATGCACACAAGCTTGATACGTCCTTTGCTTTGCTAAAGGAGCTTAGGAGCCACTATGTCGTGAAACAACTATCTGAGATCAATGCATATCATCCAACCTTTGATTTTCATGGTGGAGATGGTGTGTAGACTGCTTGTTGCCCTTGTAGCCCGTTTTTTTTTTTTTTTTTTTTTTTTGCAAAGTAAATGGGGCTGTTATTTTGTGTGCAGATAATGGATATGCTATGTTAATGTAAATTTTGTTCGATGTCTGTGAATTGGATAGTCTGTAATCTGTATGGATTTGGGGCTGTATATGGGGCTGTTATTTTGCTGGATGGATTGTGAAATGAAGTAGTCTGTAATCTGGATAGATTGTGAAATGAAGTACTCCCTCTGTCCCATTTTATCTGTCCTACCTACTATTCATTGGTCAACCCAACTCTTCCTTCTTTTTTTAATTTCTCTATTATTTATTACTTGATTTTAAATTTAAATTTGTGTGTTTAATAGTACTTTTAGTGTATTTTCTAAGTATATAAATTTTTTATATTAATACTAAACTTAATATTATAAAAAATTGAATTAAAAAAAAAAAAAAGAAAAAACTTCAGTCAAGCCTCGTTAACCGAACCAGACACATAAAATGGGACAGAGGGAGTAGTATGTAATCGGGATGGATTGTGAAATGAAGCATCTTTATTATTATTATTATTATTATTATTATTATTATTATTATTATTATTATTGAATTGCATCTTTCCAGTAGCATTCCATCATCATCATCATTATTATTATTATTATTATTATTATTATTATTATTATTATTATTATTATAAGCATCTTGTTAAATTTTGAATTATAGAAAAAAAGACTTGCAATTTACACCTTTCAATTTATATGAGAGCATTTAAGTAATTGATGTAATATACCCTAAAATATACCCTTCAACCAAACAAGTTAATGTTACATTCATGCAACTTTAACCAATCACATCAGGTAATCTTACATTCTCAAAATCTCACATTACCTTCCCCCAGGTAATCTTATTACCTGGGGTAATCTAAGATTCCGTGAACCAAACGCCCCTTAATATCAGTCAATGCTACTCACTTTATATCGTTGGGCCCCGGATTATCAATCAACTTTTGATGAACCAAAAGATACATACTACTTATAGAAGTTTGACTGTTTGTATATAATCAATGTGTGCGAAATTAAAGATAGTTGCATTAGTTACATATATATGGTCATACTCACATTAGAACCTCATCTCACGTAAAAATCGTGAATAAATGATAGTAGTCATAGAAAATAAGTGATTAACGGCTATGATTAAAAGTTAATATCTTAAATCCATGCTCCTAACTAATCAGAAATTCAAATCACTCATAAATATAAATTAAGCGACAAATTTATTCAAGTAAAATTTCAAACCTCCGTCAAAATAGGTTAGACAGCAACAAAATAGGAGATTCTATATTATTAAACCTTTTTCAATTAAATAATAAATTATTGTTATTATTATTATTAAATTTAAGTGTTAGTACGTAATTAATATGAAAATATTAATTAAGTTTATTTTGTTGACATATGTTGGTCCATTGTAAATATAAGTCGGATGTTTGTTAATCTAATATTGTGTTGTGGAGATTGCTTTCGATATTGTGTTTGTTTGATCAATATATGCTAAAGGTAGAGATTGTTAGTACGTAATTAATAATTTAATATGAAAATATTGATTAAGTTTATTTTGTTGGCATATGTTGGTCCATGTAAATATAGGTCAAATGTTTGTTAGTCTGAGAAATATAATATGTAAATAGTGGAGGCTATTTTTGTGAAATGGAGAAACAGTCCTTGATTTGCTGGCAGTTTCATCATCCTCTCAACGAATAAGTGTATTAAATAAATCTTCAACCACACTTCTTATACATGGAGGGAGTGATCTATAAACAAGCAAAGTGGCCTAATTTCATGGTGTCTGAACAACTATAAATAGGGGGGCAACGTAAGGGAGGAAATTGAAGTTTGAGGTGCAAAAATTCTGTCATTAATTCAAAAAGTCCGCGAAAGAAACTTCAAGAAAATAGAGACAGACTGGAATAGTATCTAGAGAAGCTGCTCCATTTAAGACTAGTACATGTTGTGTGAAAATTCAGGTTAGTTACATTTTGTGTAATTGGTAGAATTACTTGAAAATGTATTTGTTAACTTTTTCAGAGAGTTGCTTTACAAGGTTAGTATTTAAATAGGTTGTAAACCTAGTTTTGTAAAACCTTGTAATTGTAAAAACAGTGGGTTGATCTTAAGTGAAAAAGTTTTGGGCATGACCCCGGCCCGCAAATTAGGAGGTGTTCTCCAAACTACTATACGTTATCAAATTCAAGCTGTGTATTTATTTTGTGCTTTATTTATTGTATTATATAGTGTTTGGAATATCAGCAGGAGTAACTACTCTTATTGATACTTTGACTAATTTCGGTATATTTTCAATATATTTCTACATTACATTATTTCAATAAGAAAATTTAATTGTTTTTTGTTAATTTTTTGTGCTTTAATTTAGCGAGAAAAACATGTGGAGTAGAGGGCAATAAAAGGGGATGTTGTGTTATGCTCTAGCCGATTGTGTGCACTCATGCACAACATTGTATGCATCGTAGAATGCCTCTAGAATCGTGTGCACATTTCTATATTGCACTGTGAACACTTATACATTGCATTGTGCACACTTATTGTTGGAATTTTTAGCATAAAATATGACATTTAATGTGTGGCTATTGATAAGAGTCTAAATATTGATAATTCCACAATTGTATTTAAGCTTATTTTCCTTGTTATTTGTTATAATTTTGCCCAAAGTATCCCTCATTTGATTCATTTGTGTGTTTATGTGTAGTTTTTGATGATTTAGATGAATTGAATGATTTTTGGGGCATTTCAGATGCATGTAGAGTCAATGGGAGCCAATGAGAAGATATGAAGATGGCGGCAACACCTCTTAGAGAGCCAAATTATGGTGTGTTTAGTGGTCTTGGTCATTTGGACAAACAAAGGCAAAAGTAGAGCAAAAGAGCAAGAAGTTGAAATTCCCGCACAAATCGTCCACTTCTCAGTATTTTGGCCATATCTCTTCATAGAAATGTCCAAATCAAGTGATTTTTATATCATTGGAAAGCTAACTTGAATGGCTACATCTTTGATGAAGACCACAAATGCTAATTCAAAGATTTTGGGGGTCAAAAATAGCCTAGAGGTCAAAGTAGGTGCACAGAATTTCGTTCGTGGCCACTGGGCAGTGTGCTCTACATTTCTGGCCACGGGTGAAACCACACCCGTGGCTAGGGCTGTGCGTCGAACGGGTTCGGACGGATCGGGGTAATGGATAGTCACATCGATCAGATTTCAGTTTTTGAAACGGACATCTTATCCGTTCAATTCTGCCGGTTTATCCGTCGGATAATTGTCCGAACTACTCCGATGGATATCCGGTTTATCCGTCGGACTAGTTCGGTTTTCCAAAAAAAAACTTCTGATATTAAAAATTTTACTTTAAAAAAAAAACAATTTTATACATGTTTCACAGTTTAATTGAACACTTGTATTTTAAGCCCCTAATTAATAACTAGTAACTACTTAACAACAAAACTAACTTAAATAAACTTAGAAAACATTAAACATATAATCAAATTAACAAACTTACCAGTTAGAACTCAAAGTTCAAAACATACAAATTTACAGATTAGCAATTCAGCATCATTCTCCAATCTCCAAGCAGGCAAGCAGCAGCAATCAACAATTCAGCAATCAGAATTCAGCCATGGAGCAAAAGAAAACCAGAAACCCAAAACTCCAAAAGTCCAAATACCCAATATACAACTAACATATGAATATATGATTATCTAATGACTAATATTGAGTAGTCTATTCTTCTTCCTGATAAGTGATAACATAAAAACATAATAAGTTCAAAATATTTCATAATTTAATGCATTGTGCCATTGAATATTGGAACAATTGATTGAGTTAAAGGATTATAGACTAAAGAGTGCTCAAATAGCTTCTTTTTTTTTTTTTTCCATATCAAGTTAGGATATTGGGGGCACACTACTCCATGAGTATGGCATAAAAACCACACTTCATAGGTAACATATCAAATTCAATTCTATATATTCAGAGAACATGGTGGAAGCATCATCATTGCACAATAATACTTATACTAGAACAATTAATGGATTATATGGAAAAGACTCAAATATAGTTTTGTACATTCGAAACATGGGAATTTTTAGTTATAAAATTATGTGTTTTCAGGTATACAATTCTGTACATTCGAACATGAGATTTTTTTTTAAAGGAGTTAACAACAGACACGCGAAAAGGTCTAAAACGACGTCGTTTTAGGCCAGGGCGCACAATGCACGGTATAATTTGCCGTAAAGTAGCATTAAGCTCAAAAATATTACATTTTCTCTTATAAGTAATCTACAATTTATTTATAATTAATATTAAATTTATCAACATAAATATTACGTAGTACATTTTTTTCATGACTCGTCTCATGTGACAAGAAATTTACCATTGTGATTAAACTTTTTTAGTGCAATTTGAAATTAACATGCTAGGACGAAATAAGACTTTAATATGGTGTCAAAGGCCTTGTAGTCAAGCGGTAGAGTTGTGGCCCTTCACCCCACAAATGAGAGGTCTCAGGTTCATACCTCAGTGTGGAACTTTGACTCTTTGTGTTTCAGTAGGTTGAGAAAGTATACTTTAGGGGTGTGATTTATTTATTGGTTTTTGCTTGAGGACAAGCAAAGGCTTAAGTGTGGGGGAGTTAATGTGAGCCTAATTGTGCACATTTTTAGTATTGATTTATCTATAATTGTTAGGATTAGGGTCATGATTGTGATAATTTAATTGCATAATCCTTTATTTTATTATTTAGTTGTGGTTCACACTCGTTTTGAATATTTTACGGTGTTTGTTAGTGTTTTTGAACCATTGTAGGTCAAAGTTATGAGCAAGGGGAGTTCAATGATGAGTTTGGAGTAATTTTAGACAAGTTCGGGGCCCAGGGGACTCGACGCGTCGAAATTTTACAGAAGCAAAAGTGTCCGAGACCTACAGGGCTCGACGCGTCGAGCGCAAAGAAGCAGCAGACAAAAAAACGACGCCTCAGGTTCGAACCTGTCCAGTAACTGCCTCCGAGGTTTTTAGAAAGTGCTCGACACGTCGAGAGTGAATGCGGCCCAGCAGTGCGTTTCGGCCCGTTTTCGCGCGAAATTTTCCTATTTTCCTCCAAGGTTTGATCCCAGCTATAAAACTCTACCTTCCTCAACCCTAATGGAAATAATTCAGAGAATACAGAGATCTTTAGAGACAAGAAAGACAGAAATCAAGAGCCATAAGTTGTCTTGGAGATCAAGAAGAAGACTAGGGAGATTTGATGAGAAAATCGTCTAGTTAATTCTTGTACTCTTTTGATGATTTGTAATTCTTTATTATTATTTGCTATGTATAATTTAGCCATACTTGGCTAAATTCTTTAGAGATTCTTGGGTAAAAGTGTTTATGAACCTATGTGCCTAAGCTCTCAGTTTCTTTAATATATTATTATTTGGGTTAGCTTGTGTTGTAATTGTGTTTTATATTCTTGTTGCTAGTAGTTTAGGGCCTGAATTACTTGCTCCATAGCTTTGTTTGTGTCACAGCGAGAGTTGGGCATAACTTAGGGCACACACAATTGCACCTAATTGTTGCACCTTGAGAAAGGGTAATTTATTAGGGGGATTTAATTCTTGATTATTGCGCATCAAGAGATGGTAGTAGTTAGGAATTTATGATGTTTGGTCTTGTTTTATTGGGTGTTTAAGCCACGAGAGTAGAAATTCACTAGTGTTAGTGACTACGAGAGTAGCTCTATACCACCTTGCATCCTCGCACTTGTTAAACCCAGATTTTAATTTTGTCCTTAAGATTTGGCACTAGGTGATTAGACACTTGAATCCCAGGAATCTCATCTTCTCTCTATTGTTTTCAAAATCCTGAATCTTTGCTTTATTTTATTTATTTTATGCAACAAATTATCCAATCATAGTCCACATAATCATAGCAAATTAGAAACCCTAATCAAAGTATTAGAAATTCACACTCATATGACTAGTGACATGCAATCTGGAACTTCTCAACAGATTGACAAGTATCACAGTCCACATAATCATAGCAAATTAGAAACCCTAATCAATAAGACAATAATCTATAACAAAAATGTAAACATATAATATTAGGGTTTAGCAATTACTTCGTTTCTCAAAAATAATCCCTCGAGAACAAAGGGCTTCGAATCCTAGCCAGCAATTTGCAATCCACAGCCACAGAGACATGTCAGACAAGCAATCCACAGCCATAGAGACAAGTCAGACAACTAGAGCTTCCACCGGTGACCGGACTAGGGCTTCAACTAGACTGACAGGCGATCGGACTAGCGCTTCCACCAGACTGACCGACGACCGGACTTCGAGATTAGGGCTAACACTAAACACCAGACTAGGGCTTCCACCAAACTACACCAGAACTCCAGAAGTGAGAACTCAGAGATGAGACTATGAGAGAACTCAGAGAGTAAGAGAAGGGCAGAGAGATTGAGAGAGTAGTCTCAGACAGTCAGACCAGAGAACTCAAAGACCAAAGAGAACAAGAGAACGAGAGAATTCTCTAGAAGGTCTAGATATTCAACAACAATGAGGGCTCGGCTGCGCAAAGGACTAAGCTTCCATATATATAATACACTACACGACGTCGTATTATATAAGGTAAAAAAATCCTAGGCTCACTTCGGATATTCAGACGGGTTTGGATGCCATTTATAGCCCCCAACCCGAACCCTCTTATCCGCCAACTATACCAATCACGGGTCGGATAACCGAAGTTCGGATACGGTCCACGCCACGACTTCATCCGTCGGGTATCGGGTCGGGCGGGTGGGTCGGGTATTTTGGATTTTGCTCACCCTTACCCGTGGCCAGCCTCTGCAACCCATGACAGTGCGATGTTACTCCTTTAAAATGGGATTTCTTCCACCCAAAATTGCATATTTCATTTCCCTTTCCCTTTCATTCTCTAGTTAGGTTTAGCTATAGAATAGTTTAGATTAGTGTAGATTACTTGTTCCTTTCCATTTCCAAGCTCACTAACATTGCAAATCTTGGATTTCAAAGCTTCAATATAATAGAGAAGTTTTCTTATTCATCTCTTCTCTTTACTTTTCATCTATGCTTTCAATTACTCTTTTAATATTGTGTATCTATTGTTAAATTATGAGTAGCTAAGTTCTTTGGGAATAGGATTTGGCCTGGTTTGATTTCTTGCTATTGATGCTTATTTGAGTTATATTGCATAAAGGGGATTATTTGGGCGTTCTAGGGTTAGTTGTGTGAATTGGGTTTGTTGTGAAGTTGTGTATAATTGTTGGATCCCAATTATATGCTTTATTTGGAGTGTGTTTGTTGCTACGAGAGTAGAGCTTGTACACTAGCCACGCATTCACACACTTAATGCCCAATACGAGAGTATTTCGGGTAATAAGGAGAATTTATACCTTGTTTTCTTGCTTGGGCAATCTTGGGTTGAATTGTCATGAGAGTGGAGTTTAAGGTGAGGTTGCAAGTCCAAATAGCTACGAGAGTGGTATTTGGACACTTTTGTGCATCTCACTTGCCCTATGCCATGTTTTAATTCCCTAATCTTTAGTACAATATTTGGCATATTAGCTTGAATCAACTAAATCCCGTTCCTTTGTTTTACTTGTCTTATTTGTTATTATCCTAATCATATCAAACCAACCCATTAAGGATAGATCTAGTTTCTATAAGGATAGTTTTAGCTTGTGCTTAACTCCGCTTTGCATCACTTCCTAACATTACAAGAGCCATCTCCAATGGAAAGATATGTAAACTCTATACTATGATTTGATACTTGATGGATGTGTGAAAATCGTCCTTATCAGTTATTTTGTGGTACAAATATATGTGGGGTCCACTTTCGATTAGGGTCGGGTCAAAGTGGATTTGCACTCTTCATAGTGAAATGAAGAATTTGATATATTGTACGCTCAAATTGGGTAATAGGTGAATGAGAAATTGATTCTCAAAGTGAACATATTTGAGAGAAGTCAAAATCTTAAGATTAGTTACTAATTAAATTAGCGAGTAAAAGACATTTTTGGTCCTAGACTTATAGTGGCTTGGACAATTTTAGTCCTTTATAAAAAAAATTTGCCATTTTATGGACAGAGTTATTGTGGCGAGGACATTTTTGGTCCTCAGTCTATATTTCTGTTAGATAACCGTATGAGAGAGGGGCAATTACGTCAATTTAGGCTATCTCCTTCTATCTATTATATCTATGTGTGTTTGGCGGCTTCGATTCTCCTTCTATCTATTTGATTAGTAACCTGTTTGGCGGCTTCGATTCTCCGGCAATTTCTTCGTACAACTGCAACTTGGACTCTCCGACTCCTTCGAATTATGACCGGGAAGAAAACAAAACACACATAGATATAATAGATAGAAGGAGATAGCCTAAATTGACGTAATTATCCCTCTCTCATACGGTTATCTAACAGAAATATAGACGGAGGACCAAAAATGTCCTCGCCACAATAACTCTGTCCATAAAATGGCAAATTTTTTTATAAAGGACTAAAATTGTCCAAGCCACTATAAATTTAGGACTAAAAATGTCTTTTACTCTTAAATTAGCAATTCTTTTGATTCGTTATACACGAGGTGTACAAAATTTTTTAAGCTTGATTAAGCTTAAGAATGGTTATTAAGCTTGAAAGCTTAATTATAATTGGGATGGTTACGGTGCTGTAAGAATTGAAGCTTAAGGAAACTTTAATTTGGGAGAATACATCAATTCGTTGTTATATGCACCGATTCGTGTTTGCACTGTTTTGATATTATTGTGTATTATTCAAGTGTGATTTTTGGTCCTAATTTTTGGAAATCTTTTAATTTGTACGAATTTTTCGATCACTCAAATTTTTTGAAACAGGTCATTATGATCGGTACAAATTAATTGTATATTAATTTCGTGACTGTTCATAAATTATTCTGATAATAAGTATGACCGTTTAAAACGTTATAATCCTAGTATTAAATTGGATTAATGTTGATTTTATGAGCCATTATAATGCCATTTATTATTTCTTCCCTACAAATAGCTTGGATGTTGGCAGTATGTTTGGTACGCCAGTTTAGAAATCTCAAAACTTTTTCTTTTTCTCTTTACTCTCATTCTTTGTATTCAAAGATCAGAGAAATTATCTGCCAACATCTTCCGTAAATTCGTACAGAGTGCTCAATTTGTGTTCTAGCTAGTTCGCCGAGCTTTGGATTTGAGTGCTCGAACGCCAAAGTCGTAGTCCGTTTTATCCTAGAAGATTGACGGCACAACGCTCCTAGCACCCTCGGGAGGTGGCGAATCGATTTTAAGGAGAGTGTGTGCACACACGACTCGATTTGCTTTCTTCTTGTGTTGGGTTAAAACCTCATGTTAGAAACTCTTTCTCTCGTTATATATATATATATATATATATATATATATATATATATATATATATATATATATATATATATATATATATTTGTTAGTTCTTGGTTTCGTACCAAGTGTGGTGGGATTAATTTCGTAAAAATTAAATCTCTTGTAATAGTTTCATACTAGTTGTGCTGGGATTATTTTTTGATAAAATAAATTCCTATTTTGTTAATATATATTTCATATACTAGTCTTTTCTATGCGCGATGAGCAAAAAGCATATGCCCAATATTTATATTTTTAAAAATAACTAACAAATCACTACTAATTAAAATCTATATGAAATCAAATTTATTTATTATAATAATCCAATATATAATGTCTATAAATATTATTATCATTAAAGAATATAAGAAAATATATGGTGGATGCATGTGTATGGTAATAATAATGGAAAAGATAACGGAAGTTATAACGGTAGGGGTATTTTTGTCCAAAAAATTATATAGTACAACTCTAAAAGCACAATGTACAAATTGATTAGCATTAAAAACATGGACATAAATGAGGGATATAACTTTGATTGAGACTTATTTTGTTCTTAGATATATGATGTGAGTCTAATTATGCATAATTCAAGTATTAGTTTGATTATATTTGTTAGGCTTAAGTTCATGAATTTGGCTATTTAATTGCATAATCTCTTATTTTCTCATTTAGATATGGTTTACAATTGTTTTGAATATTTTACGGTGTTTGTTAGTGTTTTGGAACCATTGTAGATCAATTGCAAAAGCAAGGGAAGTTCAACAAGTTTGGAGCCACAACAAAGTTAAGGTGAAGCTAAGGAGGTGGCTAAAATGCTTCAAACAGAGCCAAAGAGTGGTGTCTTCAATGCTCTTGATCACTTGGGCAAACCAAGCAAAAGTGGAGCAAAATAGCAAGAAGTAAAAATTCTCGCATAGATTGGCGACAGTTCAGATTTTGGACCATATCTCAGCCTAGGAATATCCAAATGAGATGATTTCTCTTCCATTGAAAATAAGACTCGAAAGGCTACAACTCTTATGAAGACATCAAAGTCTAGATCTGATGGGAAAATGGTCAAAATCATCCTGCAAGCCAGACCTACATTACTGAAAATTCTCGACGCGTCGAAAATTTCCAGTGTGCAATGTAAAGACAAAGATCAAGACTCAACGCGTCGATAACGCGTGTTGTGCAAGAAATTGGTGCGCGGAAACTTCTTATTTCATCCCTATTTGGCTCCCACTAAAAAAAAAAAAAAAAAAAAAAAATCTCATCTTCCCTCAACCCTAGGCCATTCATTCAGAGATCTTTGGAGACAAGAAAGAAGAGAAAACAAGAGCCACAAATAGTCTTGGGAAGCAAGAAGAAAGGTAGGGAGATTTTGGAAAATCACTTGGTTCATTCTTGTACTCTCTTGATAATTTGTAATTTATTTATTATATATTGCTATATATAATTTAGTCATGCTTGACTAAATCCCTTTAAAGATTCTTGGGTAAAAGTGTTTATGAACCTATGTGCATGTGCTTTCAGATTCTTCTTTAATATATTATTATTTGGATTTTAAACTTGTGTTGCAATTGTGTTTATATTGTTGTTGCTAGTAATTCAAGGCCCGAATTACTTGTTTCATTGCTTTGTTTATGTCATAACGGGAGTTAGGCATAATTGAGAGTACACACAATTGCACTTAACTTTTACACCTTGGGAAATGGCATATATGGGAGTTTAATTCTTGATTATTGCGCAAGGTCGGGAGATGGTAGTATTTAGGAATTTATTATGAATGCTTGTTCTTATATTATTGGGTGGCATGGGAGTGAATATTCACTAGGTTAGAGATTACGGGAGTAACTCTATACCATCTTTGCATTCTCACACTAGTTTAAACCCAGATTTAATATTGCACTTAAGTTAGGCACTTGGGGATTAAATACTTGAATCTCAGGAATCTCATCCTCTCTTTATTGTTTTCAAAATCCTGATATTTTGCTTTACTTTATTTAT